TAATTATCAATGATTCTTAGTATGATATTTCTATAAGGGCAGTTTAATCTAATCTGTAAGCACACACGACGGCAGATGTCGCCACTACAGCTGATCTATCATATCTCGCGTGATTATTTACAAATCTTCTTTAATTAATATCTCGATAATTATTGCGAATACCGCAAAACAGTATGGAACTTTTATGTTCACCTTAATCCATGCTATGCCTCCACAAGATCTTAGGAGGTTATTCTGAGACATTCTGCATATATACATATCCTACGAGTCTGTCAATAAATGCCAACGCAAGGGGTTAAATACGGCACTGTTATCTACTACTAGCTTAAATTATACCCGACGTTGCCCGGATTTCCTATATTTAGAATATCTAAATTTGAATTATCACAAAGTGTCAAGGGATGAAATCAAGGAGAAAGGGTGGGGTGTTCAAGTTCCACGTCAGTCTATATTTTCACAGAGTTCTAGAGAATAACTATGTAAAGTTTAGTTCAGATAGCTCAGATCATTTATAAGAAAATAGAATACATACAGTCATACACACATACTATTATACATACATATATATGTATATATATAAAAGTTTCACAATAAGAATAATAGAATAAAAGCATTAAAAACAATTTAATATTTTAATATGACGGTACAGTGATAAGTTCCATAAGTCGAAGTAAACTTCTATAAATAAACCCTGAAAAATAATTACGCGGAATTATTCTGTCGTATAGCTTGTTGTTCCTCTTTTTTTCTTTTGTACCGCGACACGAAACCCGCTCCGTCTCGACGGTGTGTTCGCGGGAAGTCGCGCTCTATTTATTTTCCGTCGCGACGTCAGATTTTTCCGTCCGACTTCCAGCGCGGCGCCGTTTACCAGATTAATTTTAACGGTGCGATTAAACCGACGCGCCCGCTTTTCCGCGTCTTACGTCGGAAATAATGCAGTCGCTATGCCTCGGAATAGAATGGAGAGCGCGCTACCACACCATCGCGAAGATTGGAACTCCCCCGGCAGAATCGCGCCCCCAAAGCGGCAAGAGGGTGAAAGAGGGGCAGGGGGAGGGGGAGGAGGAGTAAGTAAAGTCCCTATTATAATCCGGGAATAATAGGGGCAAAGTGCGACGAACGCGAAGTGAAAGAGAGGAGATCCTCGGGTTGGTCCGTGAATTTGAAAGCGCCGCAGACGCCTCCGGGGCTGTCTTCCTCTCCTCCTCCACCCCAACCTCTCCCGCCCACCCTTCTTTTTCGGTCGACAGCCCTGGAGAATTTCCCGACGTTCGTGAACATTTTCGCAGCGCGCGCGCGAGACTGCCAGGTATATATTGGGCCCCGCCGCCTATCTTCCGATCTCCCGACGCCGCCTGTCACGCGCCCAACATTGTCTTATTTCGAATGTATTTGAAAGGAACACGTGCGAGATGCAGTATCTGTCCGATATCTCGCACGTGTGTACGCGCACCTGTATGTGTCCGCGACAGTCGAGAAACATTTCAAATGCGTTTGTATTGGCCAAAATGAACCTTGAACGATTGATTATAACCTGATTGGTGCAGTAAGAGCGACACAAAATATATTTATCTTACTCTAATTTATCGCACCAATATGCACTAGTTTGGATAGTTCAGCTAAAAAAAGATAGACCTTATATCGTGGTTAATAAGTTTGCCTATCAAATTTATGAATATAAGCACAAGTGTGTATTAGAAAAAATATTCCAATTAATTACGTTGGTATACCACAATGAAAAGTAATTTCAAAGGGGTCAACGCAAATATAACCACTTACTTGTGCGCTTCATTTTTGCGTTAAATGTAGACACGATTTACGAACTGCATATTCTGCGCGTCTTCTGTAGCCTGCGTCTTGCGGCCTGCGAGCTATGTAAGTGCATCGGCGAGATTGTTTCCGACGCCGCAGGAAGGGGACTTAACGAATTTATCTTGGGAAGATGATATTCACGTCATTGCCAAGATTTCCGGTAGCATTTTGGGTCGTTCGCGCAGACAATCGGTCGTTTATCTCGAACACGAGCCAAACGTCTCTCTCTCCCTCCTCTCTCATCTATTTTAGCTTAGCGAATACCACGTGGTGTCCGAGAAGTCGATAAACCACGGTGCATATCACCGAACAGATTATTTCTCTCAAGTGATTTCATCTATGACCGCCAAAATTTATTGCACCAGGTGAAATTAACATTTAATACGCTCCTCCGAAGGAGATCACGTGTATATATAGGAGACTAGGCTTAGTTAACTCGGAGATATATCGGTCATGTGCTTTCTTCATGCATTTATCTTGTGAGAGGGACAGCGGAAACGAAATCGCGAAATGTTCCTTTTAGAACGAAGGCACCTTTACCTGAGTTTCATTAAAATCGAAATAATATTACAGTATTACAGTAATACAGTTACTATTATATAATAAAGAACGTTACTAGCAAATTTCGAGACACTCGAAAACGTACTTGGCTCTTTTCTTAAATCTTTTTTATTTGGATATCCAAATAAAAAAGATTTAAGAAAAGAGCCAAGTACGTTTTCGAGTGTCTCGAAATTTGCTAGTAACGTTCTTTATTATATAATAGTAACTGTATTACTGTAATACTGTAATATTATTTCGATTTTAATGAAACTCAGGTAAAGGTGCCTTCGTTCTAAAAGGAACATTTCGCGATTTCGTTTCCGCTGTCCCTCTCACAAGATAAATGCATGAAGAAAGCACATGACCGATATATCTCCGAGTTAACTAAGCCTAGTCTCCTATATATACACGTGATCTCCTTCGGAGGAGCGTATTAAATGTTAATTTCACCTGGTGCAATAAATTTTGGCGGTCATAGATGAAATCACTTGAGAGAAATAATCTGTTCGGTGATATGCACCGTGGTTTATCGACTTCTCGGACACCACGTGGTATTCGCTAAGCTAAAATAGATGAGAGAGGAGGGAGAGAGAGACGTTTGGCTCGTGTTCGAGATAAACGACCGATTGTCTGCGCGAACGACCCAAAATGCTACCGGAAATCTTGGCAATGACGTGAATATCATCTTCCCAAGATAAATTCGTTAAGTCCCCTTCCTGCGGCGTCGGAAACAATCTCGCCGATGCACTTACATAGCTCGCAGGCCGCAAGACGCAGGCTACAGAAGACGCGCAGAATATGCAGTTCGTAAATCGTGTCTACATTTAACGCAAAAATGAAGCGCACAAGTAAGTGGTTATATTTGCGTTGACCCCTTTGAAATTACTTTTCATTGTGGTATACCAACGTAATTAATTGGAATATTTTTTCTAATACACACTTGTGCTTATATTCATAAATTTGATAGGCAAACTTATTAACCACGATATAAGGTCTATCTTTTTTTAGCTGAACTATCCAAACTAGTGCATATTGGTGCGATAAATTAGAGTAAGATAAATATATTTTGTGTCGCTCTTACTGCACCAATCAGGTTATAATCAATCGTTCAAGGTTCATTTTGGCCAATACAAACGCATTTGAAATGTTTCTCGACTGTCGCGGACACATACAGGTGCGCGTACACACGTGCGAGATATCGGACAGATACTGCATCTCGCACGTGTTCCTTTCAAATACATTCGAAATAAGACAATGTTGGGCGCGTGACAGGCGGCGTCGGGAGATCGGAAGATAGGCGGCGGGGCCCAATATATACCTGGCAGTCTCGCGCGCGCGCTGCGAAAATGTTCACGAACGTCGGGAAATTCTCCAGGGCTGTCGACCGAAAAAGAAGGGTGGGCGGGAGAGGTTGGGGTGGAGGAGGAGAGGAAGACAGCCCCGGAGGCGTCTGCGGCGCTTTCAAATTCACGGACCAACCCGAGGATCTCCTCTCTTTCACTTCGCGTTCGTCGCACTTTGCCCCTATTATTCCCGGATTATAATAGGGACTTTACTTACTCCTCCTCCCCCTCCCCCTGCCCCTCTTTCACCCTCTTGCCGCTTTGGGGGCGCGATTCTGCCGGGGGAGTTCCAATCTTCGCGATGGTGTGGTAGCGCGCTCTCCATTCTATTCCGAGGCATAGCGACTGCATTATTTCCGACGTAAGACGCGGAAAAGCGGGCGCGTCGGTTTAATCGCACCGTTAAAATTAATCTGGTAAACGGCGCCGCGCTGGAAGTCGGACGGAAAAATCTGACGTCGCGACGGAAAATAAATAGAGCGCGACTTCCCGCGAACACACCGTCGAGACGGAGCGGGTTTCGTGTCGCGGTACAAAAGAAAAAAAGAGGAACAACAAGCTATACGACAGAATAATTCCGCGTAATTATTTTTCAGGGTTTATTTATAGAAGTTTACTTCGACTTATGGAACTTATCACTGTACCGTCATATTAAAATATTAAATTGTTTTTAATGCTTTTATTCTATTATTCTTATTGTGAAACTTTTATATATATACATATATATGTATGTATAATAGTATGTGTGTATGACTGTATGTATTCTATTTTCTTATAAATGATCTGAGCTATCTGAACTAAACTTTACATAGTTATTCTCTAGAACTCTGTGAAAATATAGACTGACGTGGAACTTGAACACCCCACCCTTTCTCCTTGATTTCATCCCTTGACACTTTGTGATAATTCAAATTTAGATATTCTAAATATAGGAAATCCGGGCAACGTCGGGTATAATTTAAGCTAGTAGTAGATAACAGTGCCGTATTTAACCCCTTGCGTTGGCATTTATTGACAGACTCGTAGGATATGTATATATGCAGAATGTCTCAGAATAACCTCCTAAGATCTTGTGGAGGCATAGCATGGATTAAGGTGAACATAAAAGTTCCATACTGTTTTGCGGTATTCGCAATAATTATCGAGATATTAATTAAAGAAGATTTGTAAATAATCACGCGAGATATGATAGATCAGCTGTAGTGGCGACATCTGCCGTCGTGTGTGCTTACAGATTAGATTAAACTGCCCTTATAGAAATATCATACTAAGAATCATTGATAATTATTTATTTTCAGTATTAAAAATACTGGATAATAAGTAATTATCAATGATTCTTAGTATGATATTTCTATAAGGGTGAACAAAAAAGTCTTCTATCTTTTTTCTAATAACTTTGTAGATTTTTAGTTATTAATTACAGAACATTAACACACGAGTTTCATGAACATTAACATATTATTGCAAACGACCATCCGTCAATCTTTCTTAATTAATTAGTCTTTCTTAATAATTAAATTTCATCTACCATAATCTCATCTACCTTAATTAATAATTAAAGTTCATATCTCACATGATTATTCACAAATTTTCTTTAATTAATATCTCGATAATTATTGCAAATATCACAAAATAGTAGGACTTTTATATGTTCACCTCAATCCATATTATACCTCTACGAGAACTTCGGAGATTGTTCTGGAACACCTTGTATATATATGATTGGATTATATAAAAAGATCTATTTTAGATTTCCCAATAGATTTTTCAATAGAAAATCTGGAATTATATTTATATCATATAAATCAATATTTAAATTCATACTTAGAAAGTACGAAGATATATATATATATAAGTTGTAGCTTGATTTACACTCACTTTAAACAATCTCGCAGAATTTTTTAAAGATAGTTATATTATGAAATGAGTTTCGTGAGAATTTGATGAAGTTTGCACTACATATGCAGTGAAATGTTATCTAATTGCTCATGCAATTAGAGAAAGATTGATCTTTCCAGAGCTGAAATATTTGCTAAACTGAAGTTGATAAATTTTTTTTTATATGTATTCCTTGCTGTGAAGCTAGCGTGTTATTTTTAGTTTCTGTTTTTAATATCTACTAAACTACATATGAGATTTTAATGAGAAACTGCTATGATATTAAAGCATAATATACAGACATTATATACACATCCCACAGAATTACTGACCATTTTGTTTTTCAAATATAACAATGAATAGTTCCTAATTTATAGTAATTCTTGAAATACGTATACATGTGCACATATTTAAATACTTATATACTTCTTTTTATTAACTGTACATCTCTATTAGATAAATCGACACATAACTAAAACACTAATTAGACAAATAAAAAATAATAGCTTTCTGCATTTGCAATACTATGCATGTATATTTATCTCAATTTCGTTTAAAATTAACAGTGACACTTACATAGTTAGATAGTGAAATAAGTGTAGAGAAACGTAATTTTGTTTGATTAACAGTAAATTTACGAGTGGCTCCTTTGGTGAGCCACTGGAAGTATGGCGATACAACTAATTCATGAGCGTTTCATTATTATGAAATAATAACATTAAGCCAGTTTCAACAACGTGCACATTTGGTTTGCGAGAGCACAACATCTGGGACGTAGTTGCAACGTTAGGGATGAAATTTCAACATAGTACCTCGATTTACAAACATTTCCGAGTTACGGAAATTCTTCTGGAGCCGAAGGTAACGTAATGAGAAGAGATGCAAGGGGGAAGGGCGATTACGACTTTTAATTGAATGATATTGAATTGGCGCATGCCTCTTACCTTTATCGTGTCACGAAGTATGGCGATCTCGCGAGTCAGATGCTCGTTCTCATTATACAAAACTTCCACTTGCTGCTGTATCTCGACACTCGGCCCGCGCATCCTCATTCTGAGCTCCTCTTCCAGTTGACGCACCATTATGCTTTGTTTCTGCAAAACACACATGGAATATCGATAATTGACTCACGTGAACACTGACGATGACCTTCGGCATCGACGATAATGTTAATAATAAAAAGGAAAGCTCGTCCCCGTCCCGAGACTCCTTCGCGAAATTGTCGTAGTATCGACGCGGCCGCGTGAAAATACACGACGGACTCAAGCCACGCGGTTTTTCGACGGCGCGGCTGAAACTTTTGAGGAGGGAAACACGCGAAAACTCCTCCGCGAAAGTTGTGTAAACGCACACTAGGGACGAATGAAGAAAATTGACTGCTCAAAAATCGCTACAGACCGTAACTTCTTGACCGATCGAGACGAGTCTTTCCTGAAATTAATCATCAATAAAGAAAACTGTGCAGTACGATTTTTAAAAAAGCTCTTCGGAAATTTGTAACATTAATAACAATGACTGGAAATTATTGTCAACCAAAGCAGTTGAATTAGAAGAATATTATTTTTAAAGTTGCTTTTGCACTTGACGTCGAATTCTAAAATACCTGTTTTTTTATATCAGAAGAAAATTAGTAATAAATAAATATGTGTTTGTAAGGATTGACATATCACAATATTTTTCATTTTCAGCCATATAGCGTATTCTTTAGATCCACATTTGCTTCTAATATAAATATATTTAATTTTATTTCAATTCTTTAATTTAACTTTAATATTTTATTTTAATTTAATTTTTTCCTTCTAATATAAATATTTCAAAATGTAACGTTAGTTGACCCATTCTGTATAACTCAACTTTGTTTCAAATTAGCATTGCATACTTAGAAAAGGTGAAATAAATGTATTTTCTATAAATACATTTAACCTTTCGTATACATATTTATTTTTTCAACCTTCGCATATACCTGGGTGGTTGCCACCAATTTTCAAACAGCTGTTTTTTTTAAATATTTATGCTAAAGTTCTGAAAAAATTCATGGATTAACTTTAATGTTTATAAAAAGTATTTACATACTTTTTTGTATTAAAATTTAAGAAATTTCATATTAAAAAAATTATTATATTTCGCGATTTAAAAAAAGTGAGTTTTTGCAAAAAAATTTGTAACTCGTAATTTTTATTATTTTTAAGTAAAAATAAGGCATTTTATTATTGAAATGTTTATCTTTAACGAAAAAATTGTCTCGTAAGTCATCTCTGGAAAAAGTATATTTATTTTGAATATAAAAGTTCCATTATTTTCACTTCAGACGGCTGCCAGAAGCTAACTAACGCTTATTTTGCTAGCAGCCCTTATAGAAATTTAATACTGATAAGTGATAATTTGGCCAGTGATAATTATTGTCGTTCAATAATTTTATTACTCGTACGAGTAATAAAATTACTATTTATTACTGGCCAATTTATCACAGCCAGTGATACTTTTCTATAAGGGAGAGTGGTGTCAAAGTTAAGACCCCAAACTACAATTAGATGGCGACACTAGTTCCATTTATTACGGTAAGGGTGGTAACCACCCAGTATGTATACGAAGGGTTAATATAAATAAATTTAATATAAGTACATTTAATATAAGTAAATGTATTGACGTAATTTCGTTCGATAAATAGCAAATTTTTGAGTACCCTTTGATATGCCATTAAGCATTCAGACATACAGCCTTAAACGGTCGGTTTACCTCCGTGGTTTATCAGCTATCGCGAAAGTATAACGTCCAGTACACACGCATGCGAAATTCTCCCGGAATGCTTGAAATCGTGATACACGATCTAACAACGAGCGGGTAACGAACGAGCTAACATCGGCGAATGAATATTCCTTCGGAAGCCGATGCGTCCGGCATTACCGATTGACCTGATTATGCGTGCGTGGAATCAGCGCTATGCAACGTCACAGGCGAGGATGAGGGTGCGGAGGGGTTGAGGGAGGACAGAGAAATTGCATTCTGGCGAGCGTGACGTCATTTCTCCCCTTTGCCATCCGTGACCCACGCTCTGACCTATTCGCACGTTCAGATTCTGCTTCTCGCGTGTAAAATTCTCCGTGAATTCTCATCTCGACAATCGCCCGCTTGCGTTTCGCAATGCGCGTTGAAGAGTCACGATTAACTAACCACGGTGGACGTGTCGTCTATTTTTCCATTACATTTGGCAGGATTTTGTAGAAATTTGAAAGATGAGATTTTCGCAAGGGAATATATTGCGACTGAAATACGCATGTTTTATGCTCGCGAAACGTAAAAATCGAACGCCGCGAGTTAAGATTACTTACACCTTAAAAATAATACAAAAGGAATTTGATAAAATTACAAATTAATTTATACTGAATCTAAAAGTCATAAATAATTTGACATTAATTTAGAGCCTGCACCCCAAAAATCGTTCTACTTCGAAGTCGCGGCGACGTTTGCCGTCGTATACTCGTACATCAAGTTAAACTGAATAAAAAAGTCCTTTACCATTTTGCAAATAATCACGTACATTTCTATTTATTAATTAAAGAACGAGTTTAGTGTATGATTGTCCGCTATAATGCATCAATCTTGTTTAATTGAAAAGTAAAAATCTACGTACTCATTTGCAAAATAGTAGAGGAATTGTGTGTTCAGTTTAATAAGTTCTATCTGCACACACAACGGGTATATCATTAACTGACAGACATCCTGTCACATCACATCATATTTTTACACAGAAAATAGAAATATCAGCATATTCCTAATTTTTAGTAACTTTTTGCAAGAACTATACACGTAATGCATCCTTAAGCGCTCGTAAGTTAGTTAAGAACAAGTGTCGTTTGACGCTTAGTCGTTCGTCGTCGGCCGCGGATAAATGCAAATCAAATTTATAGCGAGCGCACAAGAGAGCTTTCATCAACTCTATCGGCAAACGAACCCTCGCGTTATTTGTGTCGCGCGGTCATTAAAGTAGACGGCATCTTCCATTTATCCCTTGAAGACCTGGAAAGAGGTCAGTCAAGGAAAGTATAATAAAAGATGATTTTACAATACTGTAGAAATACTAGAAAACATCAAATTCAATATTTCTGCATGGAAAAAAATGTTATTGTATCAATAAAATTGGTCAATGGTATTCTTTTTTCTCTGTTTAATAAAGTACGTATTAATATAGTTAGTTTTAAATATATGTTATAAACAGCATTCTTTTTTCCATGTAATGAAGTACGCTCTTATGTTATTAATCTTTAAAAAATATGTTATAAATAGATTGCAAGAAGAAAATCTTGATTTCCGTCTTTTTTAACACTTCAATTACCAAAGCACTTAAAATAACGGGTTTGTAATTTCTTGTAAGAATTACTCGAATTTATATAATGGTGTATTTTATATTTTTAACTAAATAAAATTAAGAAGAACATATAAATATTTTTTTCCTTGCATTACGTATTATTATTTAAAAGATCTATAATTTTAACCTTTCCAATAGAAATAGATCGTTAATCATCGGCAGATGTATTGTTAAACATCTATTTTGTCGTCAACTAATCAATTACCCAAAAGCATACGTCATAGGATCATTAAATTTCAATTTTATATATTCTACAAAAATATATTCTATATATATATCTTCAGATAGAATATAAGAACGAAAATTTTAATTATTAAAACTAAGTAGTCCATAATCCACCTAAAGGAAGAAAGAAAAAATTCAAACCATACCAAAAACGTCGGAGAATTGTTGATTTTCGATTTTATATTTTGCGAAACTAAAGAGAGAGAAATTCAAGTTTCAGATTATTCCTTTTCCTCAAGAAAAATTAATTGAAATGTTCACAAAGAAATGTTCAGAAACGAAGAGGATGCGGTATCAATTCGCAAGTTAAAATTAGCACTTCTCCACGCGAAAACTTCAGATACAAAAAAAGAAAAAATACATATATTTGCGAGCAAATGTAATATCAGCGTTTGCAAGGTTTCGAGAAGCTTAAGAAAAGAAACTTTAAATATAACCGAACGCGATAATTGAATGATATAATCGCGGAGGTTATCGTAAATATTTTATCAAGACGTGACGCGAGCAGGTAGTTGAAGATCGAAGAAGAAGGAAGATGGAGCTTGCAGTTTAACCGAAGCCCCTCTTAAGACGAGATCCTATTAACGATCGAGCCGTCCGTTCCAACGGCGGTGGACGCGCCCCTAACATGAAAACAACCAGCGGTCTGCCTTGCAGCTGATAGATACTGGCGTGCCGCCAAACAAATCGCAATGTTAATCGTGAAATCTGCTATAGTCAGACGCGAAGCCGGCGGAAACAGTTGCGCTTCACGATGACTAAACTGAGAATTTGGCCAAAAATGAAGATTTGGTCAAAATTACGGATTTAGTCAAAATTAAGGGTTTGATCAGAATTAGAGTGATTTGATTAAAAATGAAGCTCCGATCAAAATCGAAGATCTGCTTAAAATTGAAAGTTTGTTCAAAATTGAGGATCTAGTAAAAATTGATTTAGTCAAAACTGAAGATCTAATCTGACTAAATTGAAGATTTGCCCAAAATTGAAGATCTAGTCAAACTTGAGGATTTAGCCAAACTTGGAGATCTGGCTAAAATTGAGTATCTGGCTAAAGTTGAGGATTTGATTAAAAGTTGAAGATTTGATCTGATTAAATTGAAGATGTGATCAAAGTTGAAAATTTGGCCAAAATTGAAGGATTAATCGAAAGATGTGGTAAAAATTGAGAATCTTATCGAAATTCAAGATCTGATAAAAAATGCGGATTTAGTAAAAAATGGGATAAAATTTTTGTCAAAATTGTTAAAATTGAAGATCTAGTCTGACTGAACTGAAGATCTGGTCAAATCGACGGAATTGTTAAAATTGTGTAGCGCTAGCCATTCTGCTTAATTCCCATATATCGATGAAGTCATTCCCCCGAGGATTTTCCCAGGCGATTCTCTGAGGAAAGAGACGTGAAGGAACGTGCGAGGTTTCCATGACAAGATCGCCGGTGTATCTCGTCCAACTCGTGCAGCTGTGCAAACGACACGACCGCGGCTGAGCCGAGCGATCAGAAAA